AAGCTTTAAGTTTGTTGTTTCTGCAAAATAAGTTGATATTTAATTAGTGAATGCTTTATTGCTCTCAATTTCAAACCATAATTTCGTAAGACCAATAACAACAAGAATACACAACTTAAACAACTGCAGGAAGAACAGATTGATCTTTTTCTGTAACCATTACATTTTATGAGCTGCCGAAGGCGTCTGACATTTCTCGTTTAGACCAATTAGGAGTTTGCATCTCTCTCTAAATGTCATTTCCTAGTTCTGAAGATCGTGCCCATAACAATGGTCACGTTCTCAAATAACGTTATGATTCTGAGTTGGGAGATTTAAAGGATAGAGAAGCTATCGTAAGCAAAATTCTTGCTCCATTTTGTAAATAATTAAAACTAAAGTTCGCTGCAGCTGCTGCATTAGTTCTGTCGTCTAATCGAACTTAAAACATGCAGCGCTAGATCACTCACTTACATGAATGTAAAAGTCGCACTAAAGTAAGGTGCATGGATTGCAATACCGTTCAGTTGAACATAAAGTGTTCGGATCGCAAAATCTAGTGCGTACTTAGTACATACGAGTATATCGACGGGATAAATGATACTTTCATTGAACGTATTACGTCCTACATTTTTCCCTGAACTACGGCAAAATCTTAAAACAAGGTAAACAGGAAAAATCGTTCTTCAAACGCTACCCTCAGCGCTCAATAATGTTTATTCTATATTTTTACTATGGACACGTTTTCGGGATATCTGCGCGCCATCGATTTGGCGGAAAATCGCTGCGACAAGCCCCTTTATTTCTCTAAACATTATACTATATCTATTATATGTACTGTAACAACCGCGTCTCCGATGTTATGGCTCGTAAAAATCATAGTAATTCGCTATTACTCCGGGATACAATTTTGGCTGAAGGCACTCAATCGTGTAATATATTAAGATAATAAAGAGACGGCTGTGATAGGGGTAGTAAAAGACACATAAAATGTATGCAATCAAATTATAATTGAATACACTGAAAGTGATATTTGGTGCGTCAATTACTTTGAATCCTAATTATTATTGTTCTAGAGAATAATTTTCATCAACTTGTAAGTTTTTAAGCTACAAGTAGGAATAAAATTCTTTTAGGGAAACTTCTTTCATGATCGTCCGTAAGATTTGATTTCTTAATTTAACAAAAAAAAACATTCGATTAAATATTATGGTTTTTTAAAATTTATTTATAATAATCTTGCATTGAATCTATTTTATAATATTATAAGCTGAAGAGTTGAACGCGCTAACTGAACAATTTGGGAAAATTATTCAAATGAATAGTTTTCACGCGTACAAAGTCGCGGGCACATCAAGTCTTTTATTATGCCTTGATTAATTTGACATTACTGACTCAGTATTTGTTTCCAAAAAAAATTTAATTATTGTCGCCGTATCTTAATTTAACCCTTTGTGCGACCCGCTCAAATAGCTCGCTTTATTGTCGTGCTTCGAGCATTGCCAGACTAAGATCATCTGCGACGTGTCCCGAGCCCGATCGTCTGGTTCCCGCAATGCGGCTCGTTAGCCGCGTCTTATGACATTAGCGGTCTGGCGGGCCGGCACGTCCGAGCCTCACGAGACAGGGCTCGAATTATAGCCATCGACCTCTTCGATGTGCATCGAGAATGACGTCCAATGAAAATATTTTCAATTTACAATATTTTGTGCCTGGTTTACAAAACAGTAAGCAAAAACTGCTTTTGATAGAGCTACAATACAGCACTTTATATGTAGATTGTAATTTGATCCTATCTATTTTGTGCAAGAGCGCTGGGCTTTGTGATAGGTGTAACTTTTTAATTTATGACACGACTTTTCGATTTTTTATTAAAAAAATATTTTTTGGATTTGCTATAACACCTATTTCAATTACTTGTTGCACAATTAGATAGATACGAATACGGACTATCTAATAGATCTATGGACTGTCTTCGCTCGTTTGAACCAAAAAATTCACACTGACAAAACAAGTTCCTTGATAGAAAATTACAATATTTTTATAGCCTTGCTAGATTCGGTCGGCTTGATAACTCAAATTTTCCACGTAAACATGATTACTAAAACACGTTCATACTTTTTGCACCTAAAAAGACCTAAGTTTAACAAGCGCGAGTCCAACACCGGCACCGTCGTCGCTACAGTATCGTTTATTTGTTGTTTACGCGCTGGCAATTACAGCGGGCGGGGGTTAACGCGATAAGTGACGCTAACAAGATGCAGCGCAAGGGTTAACTCCCGATGCTCTTTTACATGCTCGCGCTGATGAGGTTTGTTTTTGGAGCGGGTGCTCAGGGGTTAACGGGTATTTTTAAGTTTAGGCTAGGTCAACGTCCATACCATGAAAACACATTCTTGTACTATCGTCGTCGTAAATCTAACACCAATGCTTTTATCAGCTGGGCTAGGATGCGCGCCGTGATAAAATCTTATTAATGATTGATTTGGTTTTCTTTGTCAAAAAATTATTTCTATTTTATTCTTTTCCAACGCCCGTATTCACAAACATTACTATGAGGTCTCACAGCGCGCGAGGATGCACAGGGTGACATACGAACCAATCACAGAGCTCTATTCAACGCTTGCTTTTGCTGCGTTTGATTTGCTGCTTCACTTAAGTAAGCAGCGTCTGTGAATACGGGCGTAAGACTTCAAATGTGCGTAAGAGCATCCTTCCTACAGGTTTCCATCGATTATAATGCTACTTAGAAGAGTAAAAAATATTCTATGTTTATACGCTTAATACAAATAGAAGTACAGTTGCTAACATCTGACTATACCTACCTACTTATAGTTTTGTTGTAAAAGCATTTATTACGACTCCACAAGAAGTCTCAGTCGCAATGTTTAGCGTAATGTACCTGAACGACTTGAAATTCGGAATTCCCGTCGCGAAACTAAAAGAGTTCTTAGCAAATTGAGAACTCTTTGTTCGGACTTCACTCAAGTAGTAAAACCCGTAAACGTGGGTACTTCAGCACTCTGGAATCTGCATTTTACTGGAATAACAAATACTTTACCGATTTGCTGAAAGCTATTTAAAAAATCTGAACGCTACAGTAAAAAAATTCAGTCATTTTTATTTAGGAACCTATAACATGAGTCATCACTGCTCTGATAAAATTCATCAAGAGGAAATGAACAGTTTTGCTTTTATGATATTTTATTTCCCATAACTTAATGATGCACTTAGTAAAGAGATCTGTAGTAGGTACTTAATGACAGAAGAGCATAATTAATTGCTCGATAAAATCAAATCGTTGGAATTATTAATGTGACGTTTGTATCTATTTAAAGAGTATCCTGTACTGGTAAACGAAGTAAAAAACAAACAATGTATCGAAATAATAACGTTCAAAAAGTGACGTAGCGAAGCGACCACGCAATTCAATCTGATAAAATTAAATGTAACTTTCTCTAAAGTTCGGACACCGGACAAACAAAGGAGTGTCCGGGCTGTCCGGCAGCGCTGCAGCGTCACGTGCTCATTAGCGGGGTCATCAGTTGACTCATTACGCGAACAATTAGAGGGAGAAACTCGGGCTGGCTGGCTTTGGGCTGGGTGCACGATGGCTACGTAGCGAAGCGATCTCGAAAATGAGTCTGACAAAATTGATTAATTACCTACTTTGTCTTTTGTTTGGTCTCAGACAGCGGACAAAACAAAGATAGAAACAGAGTGTCCGGAGTGTCCGGCATCAGGTAACGGTCAAAACAAAAGTGTCCGGAGTGTTCGGGCTGTCCGGGAGCTGCAGCAGCGTCATGCGCTCATTAGCGGGGTCATCAGTTGACTCATTACGCGAACAATTAGAGGGAGAAACTCGGGCTGGCTGACTTTGGGCTGGGTGCACATGAGCCTGACAAAATTAAATGTTACTTTGTTTATAGATCTCGGACAATAAAAGTAGTGTTCAGGTTGTCCGGCATCAGATAACGGTCAAAACAAAGGAGTGTCCGGAGTGTCCGCACGCGCTTATTAGCGGGGTCATCAGTTGACTTATTACGCGAACAATTAGGTAGAGGGCGAGACTGGCGGGCTGGCTTTGGGGTAGGTGCACATTGCAAACGTGCCAGAAGCAAAAAAATTGTCCAGCATGGCAAGTTCATAAGCTCAGAGTAGAACAACTGTTTCTTCGGAATGCTTTTTTAATTAGGTTTTACAATATTATGTTTTATTATTTCTGCTGATCAAGATTGTACTTTGCGATCTTAACTGGTGCAAAATGCAAGCTTGATCAGTAATTAGGCACAGATTAGATAAGTACGTCCTAGCCGCCTAGTAACTTGAATAGGACCAATTAAACAAAAGTTTGATTTAGGTTTCACAGCTTATTAAATTAAGTGGTTGATTGTAACTATACAAAACAATTTATTTGATTATTTCTGGTTTCTTTAATTGAATACATTTTTATATTTTTCGTATATCGTTGTGCACTAGCCTTAACTTGCGCGCTAATTGAAGAGTTTTGTCTGGAGTTAAATGGATTTAAAATGTCGATACTTCTCAAGAGTGCTCCACTTTGCGTTTCAGACAACACTGCCCTCGCAGTTCCTTTAAATTGTTTAAATGATCTCGCGATTTCAATTTTAGAGTCTTATTAGCAGTTATAATCTAAATAATAATTAATTTATTTAGGATTTACATGATTTCAGAGTTATTTTCTTTGACGTTAGCTTATAAATGTAAAAAAGCTCAAAGACGCTCTTGTAGAAAACGGTGCATTGCATTGTTAGAACGACACTAGTTCACAGTTTAAAAATGTATCACAGGTGGTATGGCATCATCTGGATTGAGAGTAGCAAGACCCGGAGGAAGAGTTTGAAATATTTTCTCATGCGTTTCCTATGTTTCTTTAATATGTCTCGATAAAGTTATATCGTGGCGTTGGTATACGTGAAAACACCTGGTGGGAAGTCACCGATGCGCTCGTTTAAAAACATTACCTAAACATAATTACCGCTTATGTAAAGTCCACTGACCTTCCCCACGCCGGTGGTTTCCTTGACGCCCAGCCGCCGGAGCAGCGCCGGCGGCGGCGGCGGCGGCGTCCTGTGCAGGGCGGCGCTGAACCCGCCGGACGCCTCCTCGTCCCGCCGCCTCTTCTCTCGGTGCGGCGAGCCACTGCTGCATTTTGTGGTCGATGTCCTGGAACAAGAGAGGTTCTTAAGTCTTTTTTATATATCTATGAAAACGAAAGGTCACTCACTTACTCATCACGAAATTTCAGAAACTACAATTGATGGGAGTCTCAAAGATTCCTTTTATATAGTAGGTGCTCACTAAGACGGGATTTTGCAAAATTCAATCCCTGAGTGGGTCAAACGGGATCCACGATACGAAGTCGCGGGAGGCCGCTAGTCTTTATAATGGCGGTCAAGCTGTAGATTCTGATTACACAGGAGTTGCAGCGGTGGGAACGAGAGATAGGAATCCCGCAAATAAAACCCTTGGTAAGTAGTAGGCAAAAAAGTGTGAAAAGAAAAGGGCATCACGAAAAAGAAATACCTAGGTAGTATCTTCTAGTCAATGTTCGCTCTCGCTGCTGATTAGAAAGATCGCTAATCGACATAGAATCATATTCAGGGTAATTTTGTCTTAGAAGAATCCGAAAAAAGTGAAAAAAATTCGAAAAAATATTTTACCAAACCCTTTTTTAAAGCCAAAGTTTTTTCACCACAGCTCAATTTCGACACAAAGGCCAAAAGCGCACTGCTAAATGCATTAAAGCTCGCTTTCGACACGTGACTGAGCGACGGAAGCTGTACAAAAGGTTTCTGTAATTGAAAGGGGCCAAAACATTAATATTGTTGACCCGCCCCGGCCGGAGTCGAACCGGTAATAAATGAGCCCTACGTGACGTCTCCGGTGACCTTTTTACATTTTTCAAAAATTCACTTCACGTCAAATACGAGTACAAGATCGGGTAAAGGGTGTGTACGACTTTTTTGTAGGAATGTTCTTTTTTGTGCATACGTTCGCAGATAGAATGCCAGTTGCACGAAAATTTTACATAAACTAACATAAGTATACGCATAAAAATAAAATAGCTAAAAATCAGACTCGATAGCGCAATTTAAGGCGTCCACCCGCAAGGACAGACGACCTCATAAAGGCAGAAGGGAGGCGCTGGATGCAAGCCGCTACTATCCAATACTACCAATAGGCTTATGTTTAGCAGTGGACATCCTGTGGCTGAAATGATGGACTCGATAATACATATCGGAGGACTTTTTATACATGTAACTTTAGCAGTACCTACTTTATGTAAATCATTGCAAAATCCCTTTATTTTTCGTTCTCAACACCACTCGAATCAAAGTACCTTTCCCATGGCTGTACAAAGCAATGTGGGTGCATGTGAAGGTGCCTTCTATCAAGTAATGCCTACATTCGGTTGACGTTTCACCTACTAGTACGGCCTCGTTGTGAAATAGACGACAAGTTTCCATGCGGTTTTCATGCGGTTTTCATTCAAAACCGAATTCTGGTGCATTTGAGTTATTGGTACCTTTAAGCAAGTGCAGAAGGGATACTCTACAATGTACCTGTAAGTATTTATAGGTTTGATGCCTAATATGTAACGACTTGTTGACATTAACAAAGAGCACAAACCTACTACACTCAACTTATTGCGGTAAGAGCAAAAATGTACGAATTTAAAGTTAATTAAATTAATCTCAATAAAGACATTTTTTTATTTCATCATCATCATCATCATTTCAGCCACAGGACGTCCACTGCTGAACATAGGCCTCCCCCAATGACTTCCACATCGCACGGTTGGTAGCGGCCTGCATCCAGCGCCTTCCCGCTACCTTTATCAGGTCGTCGGTCCACCTTGTGGGTGGACGTCCCACGCTGCGTTTTCCGGTACGTGGCCTCCCTCACTATAGGCCTTTTTTTTTNGATTTATTATAAGTATAGATAAACGTACCGGACTACTGTCCGTCACAAAATATAACAGAAGGTAAACTCATGTATGTACCTCGCTTTGCATAACTGCGCTCGGGCGTCGCGCTAGGGTTGTCTTGTCATGTGNGTCAACGCTTGCTTAAAAATGCCGCACGTTGTGACGTCGTGCGCAACTTCAACGCACCATAACTATGTAATTATTTGTTAGATTGACAAATAAAAATATACGTGTCCAATATTTTTTGATATTAAACATTACGGACTAAAAAAATTTTTTTAGGCAACTAGCCTATTACCGCTTATGTAAAGTCCACTGACCTTCCCCACGCCGGTGGTTTCCTTGACGCCCAGCCGCCGAAGCAGCGCCGGCGGCGGCGGCGGCGGCGTCCTGTGCAGGGCGGCGCTGAACCCGCCGGACGCCTCCTCGTCCCGCCGCTTCTTCTCTCGGTGCGGCGAGCCGCTGCTGCATTTTGTGGTCGATGTTCTGGAACAAGAGAGGTTCTTAGGTATTTTTTATATCCATAAAAACGAAAGGTCACTAACTGACTGACTCACTGACTCATCACAAAATTTCAGAAACTACAATTGCTAGGAGTCTCAAAGGTTCCTTTTACGACCTAGGTGCTCACTAAGACGGGATTTTGCAAAATTCAACCCCTAAAGGGGTGAAACGGGATCCACGCGTACGAAGTCGTGGGCGGCCGCTAGTTTTTATAATGTCGGTCAAGTTGTAGGTCGTCGTAACACAGGAGTTGCAGTGGTGGGAACGAGAGATGGGAATCCCGCAAATAAAACCCTTGGTAAGTAGTAGGCAAAAAAAGTGTGAAAAGAAAAGGGCATCACGAAAAAGAAATACCTAGGTAGTATCTTCTAGTCAATGTTCGCTCTCGCTGCTGATTAGAAAGATCGCTCATCGGCATAGAATCATATTCAGGGTAATTTTGTCTTAGAAGAATCCGAAAAAAAAAGTGAAAATAACCAGTTACGCTGTTTTTAGCTTAAGTTTGGCTTTTACGGACGAGCAAAAATCGAAAAAATATTTTACCAAACCCTTTTTTTAACCCAAAGTTGTTTCAGCATAGCTCAATTTCGACACAAAGGCCAAAAGCGCAGTGCTAAATGCATTAAAGCCCGCTTTCGACACGTGACTGAGCGACGGAAGCTGTACAAAAGGTTTCTGTAATTGAAAGGGGCCAAAACATTAATATTGTTGACCCGCCCCGGCCGGAGTCGAACCGGTAATAAATGGGATTTACGTGATGTCTCCGGTGACCTTTTTACATTTTTCAAAAACTCACTTCACGTCAAATACGAGTACAAGATCGCGTAAGGGGTGTGTAAGACTTTTTGTTGGAATGTACTTTTTTTGCTGACGTTCGTAGCTACAATGCCAATTGCACGAAAATTTAACATAAACTAACATAAGTACACGCATAAAAATAAAATAGCTAAAAATCAGACTCGATAGCGCAATTTAAGGCGTCCGTCCACCCGCAAGGTGGACAGACGACCTCATAAAGGTAAGGGAGGCGCTGGATGCAAGCCGCTACTAACCAATACTACCAATAGGCTTATGTTTAGCAGTGGACATCCTGTGGCTGAAAATGGACTCGATAATACGAGATATCGGAGGACTTTTTATACATGTAACTTTAGCAGTACCTACTTTATGTAAATCATTGCAAAATCCCTCTATTTTTCGTTCTCAACACCACTCGAATCAAAGTACCTTTCCCAAAGCTGTACAAAGCAATGTGGGTGCCTGTGAATGTGCCTTCTATCAAGTAAATGCCTACATTCGGTTGACGTTTCACCTACTAGTACGGCCTCGTTGTGAAATAGACAAGCTTCCATGCGGTTTTCGTTCAAAACCGAATTCTAGTGCATACGAGTTATTGGTACGTTAAAACAAGTGCAGAAGGGATACTCTACAATGTATCTGTAAGTATTCATAGGTTTGATGCCTAATATGTAACGATTTGTTGGCATTAACAAAGAGCACAAACCTACTAAACTCAACTTAGTGCGGGTTACCGCACTTTTGTTTGCTGTTAATCAAAAATGTACGAATTTCAAGTTAATTAAATTAATCTCAATATAGACATTTTTTATTTTGTTTAGTTTATTTTATTTCAAACATAGAAATTATGTAACGAGATTGAGATACACAATTTGATACACAGAATAATAGATTAGTTAAAATATATTAAGTTGTAGGTACACACAGCATACATAGTTGTAGCACAGTTGTACTCGTAACATAAACATTTGTTCCTTGACATTCGTATCTAACATTATTTGGGATTGCAACAATCGTTTAGTTATTTGCATAGATAGAACATAGTTTTGTGCCTTCTACACCTACCTCTTCTATGCCTATTTCGTGTTTCGTCAGGCCGTATGCTGTACCCTCCAGGAGTGATGGATGGCCTCTACGTGACGACTCGGGCCCGCCCGTATTTTATTTTAATGCCATCGACGCTCTCTCAAGAGGCTTAAAATTGAAAATTCTCTCAGCATATTGGCAAGACGTCGCATTCCCGTAGCGTGGAGCAATGTATCTATTATTTTTTGATGGATGTTCGCGATAGTAGGTAGAATATTCTAAAACATTGCACTCTGTACTCTATTTTGAGGTAACGAAGTTACGATCTCATCTTGAAACACTATGAATGATCAAGTGTATCAAAACTTGGGAGATATTGCAAGAAAAACAAGTATGTGAGATTAAAGGAAGGAAGGAATAGAGATGACTCTATGTAAATTATATGAAATATTGAACTTCTGAAAGCAAGCTGAAAATGATGATACTCAATCATATCTTTAATATTTTTTTTAATTTAACTTTTAGATCCTTGTGCTGTAATTGATTATTGATCTGTGGTATGTTTGACAGATGACACTGACTTTTACTTTTACGCCTCTCTTGGCGGCTTGCGGTCTCTAGGAGAGTCATGTTCAAGATGGTTACTCCAAACTTATGCCTGTCTTTTAATTGATTATCCCACAATCCTAAAGCAGGGTTGTATCAGGGTGTAGAAAAACGTCATAAAATTCTGTCACTTCCAAAACTTTTTATACCTACAGCAATTACCTTTTTACTTATCAATGGTATTCAATTCATAACCCTTCCACTATCGGAGCCCTATCTATCTTACTGCTATCGCATCAGCTTATCAGAGGCGGAGCTATCTAAACATTCCGGCAGAAGAATGTTAATAGTTGTACGAGGCATGGGCAGCACGCAAACGACGCGCGACACGCGCCACGCGCTTTTATACTGCTACTTTTTATAGGAGGATCAGGTATAAATTATTGGACCTTAAGTAAAGACCTGAGTAACTACTTGGTTTTAGATCAAGTTTTACAAATAAAAAACTATACAATGTGATATTTTACAAAATAAAGTGGACTAATTGACAGAATACAGTATCTTTAAGGGTCGCTTTAGCGGTTAATTTTTTTTATTTTTACGCGACAAGAGGCAAACGAGATCACCATGGTCCATACACCCGCAACACCGAGTTAAAAGTGCGCTGACGGTTCGCAGCGAAATCAGTGTATCTGGTAGACTTTTTATGCCCAGAGTCCAGAACCTAAGGCATACATTCTAAAAGACAATTTTAATCCGGCATTGTTTTTCTTACTACTTTCCACTTATTGATAAACTAGCACGATGTTGGGTAAATACAGTTCACAGATGAACGGTACATTTTCTAGATCTAAGTTGAAAGAACATTTTCAATTTCCTGTCCTCCCAAAAGCGAGCATCTTAAATTCATCCAGATAAATATCGACCCAAAGACAACCCTCCAAAATCTATTACTCAGCTTAAAATATCGCGATCCACAAGACACGGGGAGGATCTTGCTGTTCCAAAGGATGTATATGAAGCACTGATTTCACGGCCCGGCGGCCATGTTGAAAACAAGGAAAGGTCGCTACGTGACATTTGATGTGCAAGTCTTCGGACCATGAACGGCTCCTTTATTACGTTCGATACTTGGACGGCTAGATCTTTTGAAATTCGAATTTTATTGTGTTCCGTGTTTGAAAATGTTTTTCAATTGGAGTTTAGTTTTTCTGGATGTGAGCATGTTTTGTTAGTAGGTAGGTACTAGCTGGTTTTTTCTTTTTCTTCGAAAATAAGTAGGTAGTGCGTGCCATGGATAATTTAAAATAAAAAAACATACTTATTCCTTTTTTAAAAGGGATGCAGGGAATCTTTTAGACAAAAACAAAAGAAGCGACTGTCACTGCGTATTTGACACCACCAATCAATAAGAGTAGGCGCACACCGTTGATTTTTCGTCGGCCGATAGTTTAGTCGGGCAGTTGATCAGTATGGGCATGTATGGGAGGGCGCACACTACGCCGATTCGATTTGGCCAATTCTTCATACAAATTAAAATCGGGCACAACTATCGGCCAACTAAAAATCAACGGTGTGCCTACTCTAAAATTAACGTAGTACTTTTAAAAACTATGGAAACGAGACACTCCTATAGATTTTGTAGGGCAATACAGGCCGATGAAGTCACTATTTTACCAATTCAATTGACAAACTTTTCATTAATTATCAAAAATTTTAAATTAATAGAGTTTTTAAAGTCAGAATGAAGTATGTTTTTAAAAAGTCGTGCTTTAGAATTATTGGCGAATCGTGTCAACTACCCAATTATATAGAGGTATCTTAAATAATGACCCAGTCATTCACAAAACAATCCGATGTGCTTTATTTTAGTGCTAACGTAATTCCTTCACCATAACACGAATCAATTTCCACCAAAGCAAAAGAACGACGCGAACATTTCGTTGCGTGACGTATAACACCAATTGCCACAATTAGTCCTCGTAAACAGTTTAACCGTTCTTTTGTGTTTTTTCATTCATTACTCTTTAATGGTGGTAAATGGCGGCGAACGTTTTATTTACGTTCGTGATTTGAATTATGCGGCAATACCGCCCTCTGGAGGGCTGTTGCCGAAACAAATAAATTACGGCGCGCGACCTATAATGCGTGTGAGGCGCGCGAGTAAATATGCATAATAATAACACTCGCGTAGTTTTGAAGTTTTGGGGTAAAGGGAAACAGTGGTATCGCTGTCAGATATCAGGCTACAGAAACACGCTGACAACATGTAGAATATAGCGAAAGTACCCCATAGAAATATCGCATAAAATTCATTAAAACAATGTAAAAAGATCATAATTATTATTCGTAGTTACATTATTATTAAAGTCGTGGGAAGAGCCTGGATGCGAGCAGCGCAGGACGTTATGAAAATCCTTGAGGGGAGGTTTTGTCCAGCAGTCATTTGACTGAAACTAAAGAAAACAAAATCTATTAGTGGTAGCTTACCATCAGGCGACACAATAAATAGTTTCCAAGCTTTTGAAACTTTAAAGTTCAACCCACAGAATGTTGCCATAAAACAACTTTAAAACGTCGAAACGTAGCGTAGCTCATTGCCCAAATACCAGAACGTCATGTAACGACCTTAAACAGCCGAATAACTTCCACAAACTTTCAATTCAAATCGAACAAACGGGCAAACTCGAGTAGAACATAAAATAAATTATATCCCAGCAACTCATATAGCAGTCCATTGAAATCGGGAGCCATGCTACCTACATTCCCGATGTCGTTAGCGGAATATTAAAATATTGTGGCCAAAACTTTATGCACGCCACGGCGAAGTTCTGAATTCAAACATTTCTGCTCCTACACCTTTTATTTCTCCGGCTAGACGAATTTTTTTGCTAGCAACACTGTATGGCAGCCCGCCAGAGACCGCCGAATGTAATAACCGTGTCCCGGGAGCCGGTTATCCCACTTTAGACCTTATCTCGGGGCGATAGCGTAATTAAGTCCCTTGCGAGGCCGAACGATTTAAGGTGGGAAGCCAGTATTGTTTGGTAAAATGATAGCAATAAATATAAAGGAAGCCTTTAACTGAACTATCCAATAACGCTGCTTTTCAACTTTGTACAACGGGTTGAGCAGTTGATTTTTTCTTTTAGCAATCGAAGTGTGGGTTTGTTCAAACATACATTTTGCTATCAAAGGCTTGTCTGGCCGTGTGTCACAGTCGGTTTGTTTTTGACATTCATCCGTCGAGCCAGGGATTAGTTAGTATGCCGGTATAAAATTCAATTTTCACTGCAACATATTATTTAGTTTGTTCAGTGACACGAGCCAAGCACTGAGCTAACTTTTGCGTAACCAATTTTGGACACATAGTGGAGTTGTTCATTGAAAATGTTCAGTGCATGTATTTGTAACTCACAAAAACCCTTTTTGAATGGGAATCGAAATCTCACTGATACAACGCTTTTCAATTCCGATGTTTTTTGGGATTGTTGGAATTAGGGGAAACGATGCTTTTGTTAAAACAAATCAGGAAAAAATATCACATGCCCGGTGCGAACGGGACGGGGCATACTTACCTACCTAAATAAATAAAATAAAATTTATAACTATGTGACCATGACCATATACATCGTCACTTCTTGTTGTTGGTTAAAATTTTATCTAACGTTAATCATGACGTCATATAGCATGCAAAATCAACAAAGCGTAATCTTTTATTCAAAGCACAGGCAAAAGATTTCCACGTTAGAGGCACACGAGCGTCATTATTAATTTTCCAGCAGTTTCCCGCGGATACATTACAGAAATGACTTTGAAGACTAAATAAACGAAAGTACAGTTAGCTTCGCGGAACAATGACTATAAAAGCTGAAATTAATCGTTACTGCACTTGAATTTGGTACCTATGTAAATTCAGATACTGGGTGGAGTGCGCTGTATTTCTTTAAAATATCCCTCATGAAATTGGTACTATAGATTACAATTACCTTCTTAATTAAATACAAAAAATAAGGGACAATATAATATCATCAAGAGCATAAAAAGTGAAAGACTCGGAGTTAATAATAATATGATCAGCTGTAAACGGCGAACTGATTGATACTGTATGACTAATAAAGTGAATAAATGTTATTTTCTAATGCCTGGTCCAGACGGGTGTAACACGTAATAGAATGTTTCGTGTAATGTAATTAAAATAGTATGGGTAGCACGTTACATGTATGCTCGTAGTGTCGTCCACCCACACATAAAATTCGTGTTACATTACACGTAATCTTACATAACACATTACACCTGTCTGGATCCGGCTTAACTACAGTGTGTTGTACTTACAACTCGTAAAATGCTAAATATTATCTTTCGGCGAATAAATTTAACGGCCCAACTTATTTAAAGGCCTTAAAAAGGACTTCATAAAAGTCACGACCATCACCTTCAAAGGTATTAACCTTCTTTAAACTCTCTTACACGTCTGACTGTACTAGCATTCCCACACGCAATGTCCCTGAATATTTTATATGAGAAATTGCCAACATCCTGCGCGAGTTACGCAGCTATCTCCTCAACCGCGGTAGCTGAATAATACATAATTGTTTGTTGTATTTGCCAGATAATCCACAGAATATGGGGGTAATCGAAGGAACTGTTGACTGAATTTTTTAGCTGGTAAATGATGTTACAGAGAAAGCAACTAATAAAAAAAACAAACGAATACAGCAAATGAAAATCAAGCGATTCTATACAATATTTATAGGGTTCTCTAGCACCGAATTTTATTAAACATCGACTGTGTTTGGTTAAATTCCAATAATCAAACCCTTTAAGCGTCTCTATCGACTCCTCACTGAAAATGGCAGCCTTTTGTGTATGATTCAAATGTGTAAGTGTAGATTCATTCTAGGCTTTAGCCTGTAGGTAATAATCTATCTATATTATAAGTAATAATCGAATTGATGTTCGTTAGTCTGATTAAAACTCGAGAACGGCTGGGCCGATTGAGCTGATTTTGGTTTTAAAATGTTTGTCGTAGTCTAAACGGTGAGTAAATAAGGAAAAATTGCGATGGCTTATTTATTATTGCCTTTAAGGCGGAACAGAGTTTGCCGGGTCAGCTAGTATTAATCTAAATCACAGATTTTGACTTAGTGTTGCAGTTGCGGGAGGTTTATGCTTTGCAAAGTAGTCTTACAATACTTATGGGCAAATTAACAAGAGCTTATTATAATAACGTTGGTTAGAAGTTGGTGCTTCTTATACCGCTGCCTAGTTTTCCCTTCCTAACGCAAATAACTGACGTCTTGACGACTCACTTTACAACTGTATCAAACGTCACAAAAAGCACGATTTCCACCACTCAATCCGTTTAAATACCACAATAAAGCCACCGCAAGTATTACCCGTGGCACAAGCACACAGACAAACACGTTAATATGGCCGCCCTTTGTGTGCGCAACTCTTCATTAGACAGATCATAGCGTTGTTGCGTGCGGAGTTGCTCTTCTGATATTTTTTTTCAAACTTTCGGGCGGTCAATTTGTGGGAGGGAGCGGTTTGGCCCGTTAATTTTTAAGAAGGTAAGTTAATGTCACAATACAAGTTCTTTTTCAATTTTTGAATATTTCCTAAGATAAGATTTTGTCTAGAAGATTCTTTGGTTTGCGATAGTTACTGAAATCTCGTCCTTGAGGTTTCTAGGGTTGGCAAGATATTTTTAAAATGAATTGGACCACGGAACTCTCAAAAGGTGGTGTGGTGCAACTATTTTTAAAGTCTAACGTCTCACTCATGGTCCAACTACATAGTTGGACAGAGAAGTTGGACCACTGCCCCGGACTGCTTTCAGCATCGGCGACCGGCAATTTAGCCCCTTTTTGGAAGCTCCACACCGCACACCCAAAAACGCCAAATGTGGTGATTGAGTGGCTTTCCCGAAGTTCGACGCAGCGACAGCAGTCGCTAAATCGCACGATACCGCGTCCGAACGCATGAAGTCGCGAAATCGCAATGCTACATCAATAAAGTCGCAAAATCGCCGATCGCCAATGCAAGTAGCATGTCTGGTGTGAGTGGTGTGACACTAAGGCCCGGTTTTTTGATTCGTAGTTAAAATAACCAATGGTCAAGTTTGACAGATGTCATATGACAAGTGGTTAAATATCAGAGAAAAATGTTTTTCGAACAATGGTTAGCTAGACTTTTAGTACATTTTTTAACTATGAGTTAACATTTTGTTAATATTTAACCATTAGTAGCAAAATTTAACAATTTGTTATTTTAACTATGAATCAAAAAACTGGGCCTAAGTAGTCCTTTTGAAACACAGATTAGTATCAATAAGTACGTGGACACACCGCTGTAGCACATACCTTATCCCCCACATTGTGCAGGGCAAATTTAGCCCTAAGCCCTTGTGTACACGCTCCCTGATGGAAAACTTTCGGTGAAGGGTATATTTTGTATTGCGAAGTATCTATTAGTATGGACAAAAGAATCGTTTGTTCGGACGGTGTGTTCCCTTTGTGGGGCATTAGCCGTGGCTAAAGGATGGGCTTTTACTTTTTTTTATGTAAATGAGTTTTTTGTTGTGATTGAATAGGAGTGTATGAGCGAAATGAAACTGACTTATGGTGGATTGTTTATTGTGGACGTTTTTAAGATCTGTATCATAAATTATAAAAAAAAATAAGGCAGCTTACTGAAACTGAAATAGGTCATTGTTTACCTATTATTTTGTAAGACGTCAAGCTGTTTTAGTCAAAATTGTAATTGAACAGTATTCTACTGAATATTAATGAAAAAAGAAATTGCTTTAAACTTTTCAGTGTAATACCATAGTACATATTTTGTGATTTATAAATAAGATTCTCATGACTTACAGCCCAATACCTCATCTGATCATCAATCAACTTTACAATCTGGATAAACCTATCCCTAACCTCTCAAAATCTGAAGGGGTGATAACTTCCCGCCCCTACCCACGTTTGACGTTTATAAAATACGAATAATCCCCCCCCACTAGCCGTAAAGAAGAATTTCCGTGAGTTTTACGGCTTAACACCGAGTTACGGTGATTTCGGACTTTTTACGGACAGATTTAGAGGTGGCGCGAGTGTATCGTACGAGTGCGCTTACGGCACGTGTGTATTTTTTGTAACTACACACTTTTTGGGGCCGTACTTTAATAACATTTGAGCCGGGCTGTCAGGGAAAATATTTGGTTTATGATGCTGTTTGAGATTTTTTTATGTGTTTGGACGGCTTAAAAAAATATTATACTCTATCTTTCTGTCTGAAAATATTTTCATATAAAGCAGACTTCTTTTAAGGGGTTTTTTTTAAACCTGTAAATACTCGTAGTCTAGTGACCCAAGTTAGTTTATTTTTGGCATAATTTATGTATTACTTGCTTTCCGCCCGCGGCTGTGCCCGCGTGTTATTTTGTTTGTCACAGAAAAACATTATCGCGCGCGTCCCTGTTTCAAAAACCGGGATAAAAACTATCCTATGTCCTTTCCTGGGACTCAAACTAATGCCAAATGTCATCAAAATCGCTTTAGTGGTTTAGGCGTAAAAGCAAGACAGCCAGACAGACAGACAGAGTTACTTTCGCATTTATAATATTAGTATAGATAGTATATTAATGAACTTCAGCAATGCATCCAAACAGCTTTTGTAACTATCCCATAGAAATAGTGGGGACTATCACAATTTTACTTTCACTAAATGAAGGATTTCACATCACTGAAATTTTCATTTCAATCACAAATAAAAGGTAAAAAAAAGAGCGTAGAAATCAATTTCGCGACAAAAGCGTTGCTTTAAACGTAAAGAGAAATGAAGGAAATTTGGGCAAACACGAAACGGCTGACTGAAAAAGCTCAATTTAAATTGAAATCGATTTAAACTCCGAAAAAGTTCGCCAAGATCGTTATACAACTCGCGAACACACGTGCGAGGGATAGAAACGTCGCGAGGAAATATGGCCTTACAGGAAACGAATACAAATACGAATAAAAATAAATGTACAAGAGGAATTCCGGGCGCGGGAATGAGAAAAACCATATTCGTTTGGGACCCCATCGCGGGCAGGGTTGGCGCGCGGTTTGGGACCCTACTATTGTGAATTAGTCAAACCTATTTGGTGAGTGAAAAAGAAGATATTATTATTATAGATTATTATGATTGGTTGAGAATTCGCAGAGTGAAAATCACTGGGCAATATATTTTTTTGATGAAGAATCGTTTCCAATCACCTCAATCGCGTACCTCATTTAGGTTATTTTTATGGCCTTGTGTGAAATATGTAAATAGGCTAGTTTACTAAAAAAATTTTTTTAGTCCGTCATGTTTAATATCAAAAAATATTGGACACACATATTTTTATTTGTCAATCTAACAAATAATTACATAGTTATGGTGCGTCCGCGCGAGGTCACAAAGTGCAGCACTTTTATGCACTCATTGACGTCACGGGCCTCTTCTTATGAACTTTGGCGCGCTTTATCTCTTTAAATTTTCATTAGTTTTAAAAAATGAAAAATACGTGTAGAGTATTTTTTGATAAGTTACTGAGTAACGTAAGATAAGTGATAACGTAACGTAAGTAAAGTAAGATAAGTGATACTGACGGACTAATTAAAACTCTTGCTTTTTGACCCAGGAAACATCCCTATTACACATTAATCATTTTATGTAAATCTACTAAAATACTCGAGTCGTAGTTAAGGGTTTGTGTCCTTTAGTGAGTTATGTGCAGTATTCCTTCCAATTTATCTATGGTAGTGGTATAAGGTCAGCGCAGAGAACTGCTTTCCGTCAGATTGTGGCGCCGACTGTGCGGTATTAACTGACTGCAGCATGCCCCTTTTGTATTCCAGACTATATTACGCATTGCTGTGTACTATGCCGCAGTTGTAATAAGTAATTCTGATAGAGTTTGGTAAAATTCATAAAAGATGTCGAATGATACCAGACAGGGCGATTTTACAAATACCTGATAGTTTCAGATAGTTATCTGATGAATAATGCTAGCTAACAAATAGTTACTGATACCAGTGGCTTCATCTGGCAGGTAGTCTCTTCAAGAATGTATGACACCTGATAATAATACTTGATAGCATTTGACTTGATCTCTATGTAAACTGAAAGCATCTGATCGCTATGGTCTTGGTCGTCCCGAAGTCTGACATTTAAATAAAGGTCGTCCACCGACTTGAGGCGGAAACCAAGCTTCTTTAAACCGAACTTCTTTTTTCATAGCATTTAACTTCAGTCTCTATGAAATTGTATAGCATCGGAAGGTGAAAAACTGGCAAATAAGTCTGGCAGTTAGGCTGCAGTCGTCAACCGCATCTTTAAACGGCACGCGAGATATTACTTGATAGCATCTAGCCTCAATTGCCATGTAAATTGATAGCATCTAGATGCTATGCCAGTATAGAACTAGCGAATAAGTCTGGCTCGGCTGCAGTCGTCAACCACGCTTGTGGACGGCACGCGAGATATTACTTGATAGCTTCTAGCTTCAATTGCCATGTAAATTGATAGCATCTGGTTGCTATGTCAGTACAGAACTAGCGAATAAGTCTGGAAGTTAGGCTGCAGTCGTCAACCGCGACTTTAAACGGCACGCGAGATATTACTTGATAGCATCTAGCTTCAATTGCCATGTAAATTGATAACATCTGGTTGCTATGTCAGTACAGAACTAGCGAATAAGTCTGGCAGATAGGCTGCAGTCGTAGACCGCGACTTTAGACGGAATGCGAGCTTATTACGTGTCCGTCCGTCATATCTCTGACTGGAATAAGCCGCCTCTGAGCGAGGAGTTACTCAACTCAGTCGGATTCGCGCTTTACAATGTTATTTTATTGTCTTGTTAGTTGATGGAACCAGGGGCTTGCGGTTACTGGCTGGCGAATGTTATTTTATCAGTAGGTAGTTTGAATAAAGGACTTCTTATTCTGTTTACAAAGGTTTTGATTGACATTACACTATCGTTATGTGCATGTACACGTACACACACAAGTAAGGCTCACTCGCCTTCGTGAGTTGCAAGAACAATATTTGACCGCAATCGCACCTGGTGTTAAGTGAGATGCAGTCTAGGATTGTACATTATCTGCCCTGTATGTAAGACTGTAAGTGCCTATTCACTCTCGCCTTGAAAGCTTAGGCTGAGTTGCACCATCTTACTTTAACTTTGACAAACGTCAAAAATCTGTCAAATTCCATACCAAAAACATCGGTTATCGTTAAAGTTACTCTCAACTCAGCCTTATTGTTTAGGTACTTGACAGTTGTCATAAGAGGTCACAACCTTGGTGATAAACTTTTTAAGCCGCTATAGGGTTCTGAAAAGGTTTAAACTTATGTGGTTTCCAATGATCGATGGCTTTATGTAACATGGAATAATATTTTTTATTCAGAGAGTCAAGATGTTTCAATGCAATAATGTTCTGACCCAACTGGAAATCAAACTCAGGATCCAGGGATCGAGCGAGTTCAAATGTCTAACAACTAATACCACTCGTTAAATCTGTTCCTAAAACTATGATAATGTTGATAAAATACTTCAACCACAATTGTACCAACTTAGAAACTAAACTTTGCTTTTCAACAAAAGAGTTGAAGAAAAATATATTCAGAAAATCTTTATCCCGCCCGCGTATTTTGAGCTCAGCGTTAGGTTTCAGTTCGGCAGATATTTGAGCGTTCGCGAACTTCCCAGCACTTTAAGCGATCTGGATCTGGATCTAGGAAACTTTGTTGGTGCCGATCCGCCGCGAACCGGCGCGAACTGGATCAATCCAGTATTTTCTGGAACTGGTAAGATGTTTTTACAAACATTTTGTAGTAGGTAAGTAAGTACTTAAATAATGAACAAGATAGATAAGAAGTATTTAATATTTATCTGTCTCAAAACATTATTTATGGTTTTAACTTAACCTGTGCTGAAAGGGATTCTTTTTCGAAATTAATTTAGAAAGTAAACTTTCAAATTTGGACGTAGGTATTGCTGAAAATATCTTGAATTATTATTGAAAAAGCCTTCATCATTCAGTAGCTGAAATATTGATTTTCTGTTGTTTCTATTTTAATATTGGTGATAGGCCTATACAAAACGAAACTATTTTGGCCTATACAGAACCAAACCGTTTTTCACTCATGTTATCTAATAACAAATATTAGGTTTCCTTTTCACAGCGATTGTGTTATCATATTGTTGCACTAAAATTAAACAGATGCTGTGAGTAATTATGATAATAATTAGTAAAAAACATAGCGCGAGTTGCATTATTATCTACAAAACAATGGAAATGTTGATAAACTAACATATTTACAGGAACTAGGGCTTATGATAAAATAGAAGGCTTATGA